TTTTTTTTTTTTTTTTTGATTACTAAATACTTATTCTGATATAGTAGTTAAAAAATTTTAGTGATTACATAAATAAAGACACGTAAATTAGTGATGCAGCAGTAATAGCAGCCAAAAAAACGACGATTTATACTCATTAAAAAATTGTAAAAAAAAAAAACAGACAGATTCATGTCAAATATAATAGGATTTTGTGCTGCTATTGCTGTTACTGTTCACATTACTATGTGATAAGCAAAAAAAAATTTTTTTAAACTAATAAATGTAGAAAAAGAAATAAAAAACTCGACAACAATTTGTTAAGGTTAAAAAACGAGAGAAAAAACTGACAAGTTTTCTTTTTTTTTTTGCTATTCACGTGAACTTTTTCCTTTTTTTTTCTTTTGCTTTTTCAAAATAGTAAAACAAGCAGAATCAAAGACAAAAAAAAAATTTGGAAGTTGATTAATTGAAAATTTTATTGTTGCAAAAAAAAATAAAAAAATAAAAAGCAAAGAAAGATTTTTGCAGTAAAATTGGTGACAAGCAAAAAGGAGAGGTGACATTGAAGAGCCGAAAGGGAAACGGCAAAGGGTACAGATGAGTAAAATTGCGGTGGGAAAACAGAATGTCATTTCAAAGTTTGCCTACCTGAATTAAAAGACATCCCGAGTCTGTAACTGCAGCAACAGTTGATGTTGGAAGAATATTTGAAATGCTAACATGTTTTTTCCATCGTCTGACATCCAAATTTTTATGCAATTTTGTAGGATTGCAATACGCAGATAACAGATTCTGAGTTGCAACCACCTAAATGTATCCCACAAATTGATGTCTTTGACTAATGTAACCGCAAAACAACAGAAGAGATTTATGTTATGTTGTTAGTTTTTTTTTTCTCTCTCTCTTTCCCTCTCTACAATTAAAATTGTCTTTTTTGATATCAAATTTTGACAGTTGTTTTTGGTGTAATTAACAACTGTAATATAACATCGACTTTTTTTTGCTGCAAAAAGGAATGAAAAAGATAAAAAGAAAAAAGAGGGTAATGTAATTGTTTTAGTTAAGTAACTGCTTAATTGATGACAATTATATAAAAAATAAAAAAAAAAAAACAGATTTTAAGGATAAATACAATAACAAACTTTGAGATCGTTTGGTTGACAATATCGAACGTCTATGATAACTAAGAAATCTGTGGTTGTACAATAAACGTTAATACCGTCTTCATTGACATATGGAGTATATTGTTGTAGTGAAAAATTTATTTTCACCTAAATTACACGCAGTTTTTAAACATCTAAGAAAAAAAGATTGACACAAAGTTTTCCAAAAGAAAAAAAAATAAAATTAACTTTAGCAATGTTAAAAAAGAAAAATGTATTGGTGAACAGTAAGCTTAAAGTTAGTTAAAGAATAGTAACAACAACAACAACAGCAACAAGAGCGGTACTGTTAATATTAAGCGCATATCCGACACCAAATTAATGTAATTCTATTACAACAAAATTAAAAGTTGAATATAAAATATATGTAAAAGTAACTGTTCACCTGTATATAGAAGACAGGCTGTTTTTCTAGAATTTTTTAAACTTTTTTTTCATTACAGCAATATCAAAATTACACTTATTGAGAAGCATAAAAAGGGGGGTTACGCTTTTTTCTTTACACTTAACTATAGCTACCAAAAAAAGAAAAAAACCATAAAAGATTTTCAAGAAGTTTATAAGCAGCAACAGTAAAAGTGAAAAAAAAAAAATTGGAGCTAAACTGTCATTTAACTTTCTTTTGTC